AATATATATTATACACATATATACACATTTATATTTTTATATATGTGTGTATATATATATATGAGACATGGGGTGACCAAGGGGTTTCTGCTCCCCCAGGCTGAGGCTGAAGTGGCTTTTCTGGACCGACCTACCTGAGGAAGAGTTGGACCGAGCCCAGGAGCGCCTGGCCACCGCCCTGCAGAAGCTGGAGGAGGCTGAGAAGGCGGCTGATGAGAGCGAGAGGTGTGATGGGAAGGGACAGCGTGGGTGGCATCGGGTCACCATGGATTGGAGGCAGCCCCCTTGGTTTCACAGTGGGGGGCCTCTGAAGTGACCTTATGGGGTTTGTGTTGGTTTTCCTGCCGATTCTGAAGGGAGAGAGCAAAGTCACAATGCTGAGAAGTTCCCCAGATACAGGCATTCTTAAAAAGGTTTTGAAATTTCCAGGGCACCCATGAAATCCTGAAAAATTTTCTCTAGTGTTCACACCAATATCAGGCTGTAACCAAATCTAGAGAGTGCTTGGAGCCTGTTTTCTGCCCCAGAGCCTTCTACGCTCAAGGGCTGAACAACAGACCGGGAGGGGGCATCTGTGCCTGGGAAACAAGGTCAGATTTTGAGAACGAACCAGCCCCATTCAAAACCACGACCGTGCGAAATGTGTTGCCCCATCCTTGCAGCAAGCAGGTTTCCCCGGCAGGAGCCATGCAGGTGAGGGCACTCAGGTTGTACGGGAATGCCCAGACATGTCACGGCGTTCCTGGCCTGTGAGCTCTTCCTCCCATTGGCAAAGACCAGTTTGAGCAATAGCATCTGAACGAGAGGAGAAGAGTCTCCAGGAGTCCCTGCCGCTGATGTTCAGTGACCCCGTGCTTGTGAGCGTCATCCCTGGGTGGGAAAGGACTTCACCGTGCATTGTTTTCTAGCATTTTGTAAAGGTTGCTGCACGGGCTGAGCTCTGGTTGCTCAGAGCTGCTTTTGTGAAGGTTGCAGCTGTATCATCCTGGCCTGCACACATTCCCCCCCACCAGGTGATGGGTTCAGGACCTGCCTGGTTGAGAGGCACCATAGCCACAACTTCTCGCTCTGGAACATGGTCCTGGGGCCAGCTCCACTGTTTCAGTTATGCGCAGGAGCATCCTTGGGGTACCACTGGTGTGACCCTACTGCGTGGGGTGGCCAGTGAGTGGCAGAATCCCTGGGTGATGTCCCACATCTCTGGAGCTGGTGGATGGGTACAGTGGGTAGGCAGGAGGTGCAGGTGCCACCTCAACCCACGGCAGTAACACCTTCTGGCTTGGGCTCTCCTCAGAGGCATGAAGGTCATCGAAAACAGGGCCATGAAGGATGAGGAGAAGATGGAACTCCAGGAAATGCAGCTGAAGGAGGCGAAGCACATAGCGGAGGAGGCTGACCGCAAATACGAGGAGGTGCGTGCCCACACCCTCATGCCCCCTTCCCCCAGTCCCGAACCCCCGGCAGCACCTGGGGCCGCCTCCTCGCAGCCCTGTGCCCCCAGCCAGGGCAGGCGTGGGGCCAACACGTGCCTCTCGCTGCCATCGACAGGTTGCCCGCAAGCTGGTCGTCCTTGAGGGAGAGCTGGAGCGCTCAGAGGAGAGGGCAGAGGTGGCGGAGAGGTGAGCGGGGCTCCTGGCGGGCAGCGCGCGGGGGTCCCACGCAGCTCTTGCCCCAACTCTCTG